AATAGATAAAGATTGTTCAGAAGTATATTTAAGCCCACGTTCAGAATCTCATGAGTCGCCTGAACAAAAAGATATGTCGATCGAATTAGATCCTTTCTCTTCACTAATGAACAAACTGAAAGTTTGTGCTGAAAGGTACTTAGAACCAAAGTATTTCATCAATATTTTAATGTTTCCATCTTTTGCATCAAATAATATTAATTATGTACTTTCTAGTGACAAAATTATTTGGGAAGTCTACCATGAAAATATTGAAAGGAACCTGTTTGTAATTGGTTTTGTATCTTCTTCATTGTTAGTAGTAATTTATTTAAAGGATAACTTTGATGCTTTAGGTGACGAGCTTATTAAAGAAATTAAAATATATTCTCGCCTGGCAGGTGAGTATAGGAAAAAGAATCAATGCAAAAATACCAGTTAATATTATTTTATTTAAGAGTCCTTTTTCGTTAGACGATGCTGACGCATTAATAAGCTTAGTTCATCGAATAATCATGGAAAAATTAGATGCTCAAGTATTGGCGGATTTATGCAAAAATTGCGGGGATATTTTTTCAATACTAGATAATATTTCAAAAGAAGTAAAACTAGCTATGGATTTTATGTTCGATGTGGAACGTATAAGAGACATAAATTTGATGGAAATAACTCGTGACAGGTAATGAATTATTAAAATACTGTTATTGATTGTTATATTGAATACCCATCATACGTTTTTTTCTCTTTATTGTAGCGTATCTTTCATAGCATTTGCCAAAAGGAAAGACATTATATTGAGGGTCACAGTAGACATTAAACCATTTCACAAAATTGAATCCAAAGATATTTCTGTACATTGTAGATTAGGGTCTGTAAGGTCAGTTCTGGATTTGTGTTCGATCAACCTTGTTAAAGATTCTTTCATTGTAACTTTTTATTGTTTTACAGAGAGGAGGATGTTAAACTGTTAATAACGAATATAAAACGAGACTATAAATTTTTAAGGAGATACATAAGTGACGTGAAAGATTACATATACTTGATGGAAGAATCTGTTAATATAATTTTAAAAAACACCGTTCTCAATGTACTCTACTAACATAACAATTTTATTACCTTTTATTAATTTTATACACTATAGTGCAATGCAACAATAAAAATATTTTTTTAATCATTCAACAGGTGTGTTACCGCCTATAGAAATATATTAAGTAGAAAAATGAGAATTGCACTATAAAATGATTCATAGATACTGAGTACCTGAGTGAAGTTTTTTGTTTTCTTACAGACTAACATAAGAATCGTGGGCGGTGCATGAGTGTTCCCTTTCTTTTTTAAACATCCGTACCGTAAAGGTGCGCAAATGTAAAGTTACGAGTAAAGGTCGATCAACTAGTTCTCCGATACAGCCGGTTCAGTCGATGCAGCTTTTTGTGCAAGCATTTGTAGTCTGTCTCGATAGTATCGTGTGAACAACCGGCTTTCTCAGAATCGTATGACTTTCCGTCTTGTTCTCCAGCGTGGTCATTGTTGGTAATTACACGAACAATATTACTTGGTTTTAAAACACTGAAACAATTTAACACTACACGCATTGCTTTCTTTAACATTCTATAGATTAATTTTACAATTAAAAATTCTACACAAGTTGGATTTATTAAGAATTCAAATCGCTTGAATTCCAATCCGAGGGACAAGATAAGGATGACACAATTACTGGTAGTTTATGAAAACATCATTGATACAGACATCGATGTAAGTTACAAAAATTACACAGGATTTTGTATACAATGAACTCTTTCTCATTGGATAAAAATCATTTTTAATATGGCAGTGAAAGATACTTCTTATGTATGTATCAAAGATTTTAGCAAGAGTAGTGCAACGTTAAAACATAGTCATGGAGAACGTCGAGCAATGCGGAGGACTGGAATTCACGAAACTTCCGGTAGTTGTACAGAGAAATTGCTGGAGCATGGAGGATAAAAAAGCATTCGCTGGGCATGTGATACTGTTTAAGATGACGAAATATTATCGCAATGATTTTGTTGCAACATGTACCACAGAAGAGAACAACCGACGTGTTTAAAAGTCTAATAACATGGTTTCAATTATTCTCATTACCAAAAGGATACAGATAAACGTTTACAAGGTGCTTCTTTTATTCATAGTAAAGTACTAGAGCGAAATTGAATGCTATTCAGTCCTACATTTCACTCGATAACATTATATATACACAAGGTTCGTTAAAGAAGTCAAACTTTCTTTCAATGTAGCTACGCCAGCCGCATTTGCGTGGGCGTTAAGGCCCGGTTTTACGTGATTTCGTAACGACGACAGACCGATTTCCAGTATCAAAAACCATTTCATGAAGATCCCGAAGACCTTCGAGCCTTGCTCCCTCTCTCTTAGTCCTCTCTCCGACTTCTAGAACGCCCTTGTGTACACAGATGAAGTCTGGTCACATGCGAAGATCGCTTGTGAAATTGCTGCTGGTTATGCTAAACAACGAAGAATGGGAAACGAACTGTACCTTGACAATGGACGATAAATACTATACTCTCGGGTGTTAGTATGTGGTAAGACGGTATCGTGTAATCAAAGCTGTTTTTATTCATCAACATTTTGAAGAGCGAAACGTAGCATAAATTAATACTAAACATTTTCAGACGGCCTCATTTTAAGTACCTTTAATCCCAATGGAAGAAACAATCTAAAGGGCCATCATTATCATGGATCCAGACCCTCTAACTGTTCCTGGATCTATCCACATTCCTGCTTTCTTCCATAATAAATATGAATTTCATTGAAGACTCGAGCGATCATTGATCAACAAGCGCGCTGAATTCGAAAAAGCCGCGGCTACGAGTAATCCCTGCGGTCTGCGGACCAGGTTGAAATATCCTAGAGCGTGGATAAGAGGGACAGGGTTGACGGAGAACGTCGACGTATCAGGCGGGCAACCTGTAACGGTCGACGTCGATCCGACGATACCTGCTCAGGACTATGAGAACGGATAGCAGCGGGAGCAAGAGCGGCAGCGAGGCAAGTGGGGCGTAAAGGCTTGGAGAGAGAACGTCGTCCCGTGTTCCATACATGGCTATGCTATGTGGAAACCGAGAGACACAGAGAGACGGACGCACCGGTGGAGTCCCCACCGTGTGGACACGGCGGAGGCGACGTTTTCTCGGCACGAATGCCCACCGCATGCTTCGTGCACAGTATGTGCTAGCACCACGTCGTCGTACGATCGTTCTTCTTTCCGTTTATTCGACGATAATATCCCGACTTGATCGCGATATATCTTCGTACGGGTGACGAGGTAGCAAACGGAACCGACTGCTTCGGAAGATGTACCCGCGAACACGTCACTGGCGTGGGTGTTACCGTTACATTGATCTAGTCTGAATTACATACGTACGGATTTCGAAGTTGAAGCGTCCGCGCCTATGGCCAAGTGACAGCTCTCTCAGTTTGGCGAGCGTGCGATTGGTCCGCTTTCCGCTTATCCTCTTCGTCGTACAATTGTGTCTGTATGTGTATGTGGTGCCTGTGCGCGACCAGGCAACGTGGGTTGGATGCGTGAGTGCTCGTGTTGCGCCTGCGTGAGTGCTACGGTACCAGCCGCGTGTGCGTTCGCCACGCGTGAAGAGAAGCCGCAGGGGCCGCAAAACCAGGGACTACAGGGACACACACACCGCCGTAGGTATGTGTTGTGCACGAGTACCAAATATCCTAACATTTAGGATCTATGTTTTTATCAAGGTATACCTCACTTTGCTTAACGCTGAATAAATATTAATCATGCTATTCTATGTTTGTTTATTAACAAGTTTACTTTACATGTATACATTGTTATAGGTGACTTAGGATTGATCGAGTATCTTGTTTAAAAAATAAATAGAACACGAATAGTGTTGTAATGTTTCATGTGGGTTGATTCGTTTCAATTAACGAGCATGTTTCTTCACTTTCATCTTATATACATGTTTATCAATGGATTCACCGTAAGTGTTAATCATTCATAAGATAGACTCTGCTCTGAATGGTCAATTTATTACTGAGATTCATAACTATCACATAACTATACAATCTTTCAGGATTTAATAGCGGCAACTGCAACGTAGTCTGGCCGCGTATAGAGGTGTTCTTTTTTTTCCCCTCTGATGATATTCCTCGCTATATCTGTCTCCTGTTTTTCGATGATCGTTTTTAGCGTCCCACGAAGACGACGAAAACCAGTTTCACGTCCGGACACGGACGTTGGCGAATCGTGATACGAAAGAAAGAAGGAATCGCTCAATCGATGATCGTGCTTCTTCCAAAGACGTTTCTCCCGGAAAGGTCACTGTCTTTGAACGGCATCCCGCGCCAAATACGTTCGTGGTCCTTCGTTTTCCTCATAATTTATTTCAGTCGTCCGATTTCCTTGGCTTGCCCAACAGCCGACGAGTTTACAACATTTTCATCGCGAAAAGGATTCGTTAAAAATGCCACAGCCTTGTCTCTTAATGCGGCTACATCCCACGTTTTATCTGGCGAGTTCCTATCGTTTCCATTCTCTTCCTTTCAGTGAAGGGTGCCTTGCAGGATGGAAAATTTTTACTATAATCTACTTTGAAAAATAATTTTCAATTCTTTCGCTCTTTCGTGGACGTTGATATGTTTTAACAATACCTTTGTCTGCAAAGGGTAAATATTATTTTACTTATATTTTATTAAACGCACTTCATTTACGCATTTTTTTCATTTTCTCGTGGAGTTCGTGTTCTTGCTTCTCTTTTGCCAGTATCTTCAACCTCTTTTTACCAAGAGGAGTTTTATTTTCAAAATTCACAAACTGCTTCAACGTCTTCGCTCGAGGTGGCTCGTACTTGAACACTTCCTCCATAATCTCTTGCTGTTTCAACGGGTTAAACTTAAGGGTGATCCTGCGCCGAAGATTTAGGACATTCTCGACGGCGTTTCTTATGAACTCCAATGGAATGCCCACGGACATCTTCGCCAAACAAGAGACGTCGATATTGCGATCCACTTCGTGGTACTTCATCAGCAGATCTTTGTAAAACATGTAAAGCGTGTTGTAGTCCGTGAGAGGAATCATTATAAACTTGTCGTGGATCTTGACGAAGGGTCTTCTTGCTTTATATGGCTCCGAGGAGGTCGTGAGAAATAGGATCTGAAAAGTATCACGTCCTGGTGAATCGAACAATCGGCAAAAATCTATAAGAATGTATTCTTCGAAGAAGCAATTAGGTACCCTCGGTGATTCTTAATCGATTGATGAAAGTTGGTATGATCAATTCATTTACCATTTACTACCTCGTGCGATTAATTTAAAATTTAATTAAAAATTTTCTTTCTTTTTCTAGTTATTGGATTATGTTAAATTCGTGGATGCCTATCAACGTGTTCGTTTCAACATCGTTTAATTCAAGACCCGATGAATATTAATTTTCCCGTTGCGTTGCTTTGTTTCTACGCCACTGAGTAACAGTATCTGTCCAGAATCACCGACACTCTAAATCCTACGTTAACTCGCTACCACCTACGTACTCTCCTCGTTCGGTAGGAGGCGTTTCATTGATGACCAGCTTCGATACGTGTTTGGGAAAGAGAAAAGGTGGTTGGAGGGGAACGGACGTGGTTATCGAGCTGGTTCATTCATATTGGAGAAAGAGTCAAAACAGGAATATCGAGAATTTCATAAAGTGGGGAGGGACCAGCAGATCACCAACTTTAAAACGTTCCTCTCCGGTTTAGGAAAGGTGTTGCTGCTGTACGAGCCCGTTCAATTGCGACACCAGACACCATCATTTTTATGAGCAGCGAAACGCGGAAAAGGCGCAGACGAAATACGCCAACGCGATATGGAGATAATTTTGAATCGTATCACCTGGTCACCACGTTTGATGCTTTTCACCAACTTTGGATAGTACTTTGCGAATCGTCTCGGCTGTAATTTCTTCTCTTCAGGCGGTATCTTCTTCAGCCATGGTTTTTCACCGTTGTCGATGAAGATTATCGAAGGAGCGTATTCTCGGGCCACTTTTGATATCATCGTGATTAATTTGCGTTCGTTTTTTCGTCCTATGTACTTATCTACCAGTACAGATGGTGTCATGTCGAATAACAATGCTCCAGTCTGTTTAAAAGATGAGGAATAATTATACAGATATGTCAGATTGGTTTGAGACTTGTTAAAAATACCTCGGAGCATACTGCGTTCGCCAGAATGCTCTTCCCATGTCGTGGAAGACCACAGATACAAACAGCTCGCACCAGGGGTGCAGTTTGGTGCACTTCCTTGGAGCTGAGAGGGAGTATACAGTATTCCATAACCACCTGTCTAATTTCGCCCATTCGATAAGTATAATTTCGAAATTCTTTCTCTGCTTCGTAATTCTGATACGATAGATCCCCTATCCAATCCTTCAGGGATATTAGAGGGTAGGTTTTGATGATATCGGCTCTAGCTAACTCTTTGAAAATGTCTTCCACTGAAATGTCTCCCAGCGCATCCTTTTTCTTCTTTCCTCTTCTTCCTTTTTTCTTTTTTTTTTTACCTGGTTTACATTAATTAATGAGTGGTAAATTCTTTATTAGTGTATTGTATGAGATAAAATTTACTTTTATCTTTAGGTATATCCAGCTTTTTCTTATCTGCTTTGTAATCCTTTTTCAATGCTTTATTCAATTTTTGCAGCTCCAGCCTCATCAGTTCATCAACTATTCTCCTCATCTCCAACTGAAGCTCATAGCAAAGCTTGTCCTTAATGAGGTCCTCGTATATTTTATCCTGAGGATCATTTGAATCGTCATGAAAGCTCCAGTTCTTAATAAAATCCTGATTGGCATCATCGAGGAAGGAAAATGCTTTTGTCTCATCTATCCAAGGTATCATCTTCTTCTTCTTTTTGGTAGAATCTGTTGCTGGTTTAGCAACAGTTGCAGCTGCTCCTTTACCTTTACCTTTAGCCGCTTCTTTCTCTCCCTTCCGCATTAGATACTCTTCAGGTGTTAAAGTTTCCCCGGTGGCTATTAGAACGCTGCCCCCTAAACGTGCAGCTGGGTAAGCGTCGTAGTGTCCAACCGTGTCGTACCATACGATGAACCATTCTCGAACCTCCTCTGTGATGTCTTCGATTAAACCTGGTCCTCTGATCTTCCACAGCTGATGAAACAGATAACGGTTTAGGTTTCAGGTAATAACGAATATTATAATTACAAGTCTTTAATTACTTTAGCTCGGTTATCTTCTGTCGTTTTCGTTACTCGATCAACGAACCCTGGCATCAGTTCTAATTTCTTCTGAAAACTTTCTTTATCCTTAACGAATACTTTTTCAGATTTCCAGCTTGGTATCGTCATGTCCAATAGTTCTTCCATACGATCCGCCCGTTTTTTCATTTTCTTCTTCGCCAGATATCTTCTCCAAGCTCTTTGTATCGTCCTTGCTGCGAATACGAAGGTGGCTATGCTCATCTTTTTTGGCATAATTTCACCCATCTGCAGCTTGCGGTTGTAAGTACACATTCGTTGCACTGTGAAAGACGATGAAATTGATACTAATTCTTTGATATTTATTTATTAGATTCGTACATTCCAATCCAGCACAACGACCCATTCTTGCTCTCTCGTGACACTGTATAAGCAGTATCGCATCTTGCATAGCTTTTTCGGCTGCGATTCGAGCTTCCCGAGCTGCTACCACTTCCGGACATTCTTGAAGAATGGATGGTACTTTAGATACCGTGGAAGCTTTCTCTTGTAGTCTTCTTCTTCGAGATTTTGATACGCTTTCCTGGGACCC